TTCAATGCTGAGATACGATAATGAAATTATATGATACAAAAGCATATACTTCAGTCCTCAGGAATAGCAACGTAAGAGGAGTATAAAGGACGTCAAAGTAAATAGAGAACTTCATGATACATTTCATGATTACAGGTAATAATTATCACTTTTGATTAGGCGATCATACGCTTGAACCTTGGTCACGTACAGTGCAGTTTCAGAGATATTTTCATGTCTATAGGCGACGGTTACAGGTGAGGTTATCAGGTGAGCCGTCAACTTGTTTGCTATTCTAAGTTATATAACAAAAAGTGTAAACAATGCTGTAAACAACGCTAAAGTTTAAAATTAACTGTCAACAAACTGTTTCATGGTCGACGCTATTATTTGTTTTCATACATTTTCGTTATCGCAAACAAATCATTCATGCTTAGACAGTATCGTGGAGGCAAAAAGAATGCCAATTCAGCTCAAGACTCGTGCAAGCATTTCGGTAATGAAGTTCGACCGTGTAGTTTCGTAATAAACCACTAATCCCTTAGCTTTGGCACATTAATCTAGCGAGATTGAGGAGTCGTGTCGTAGTATGCTACGGCGGCAGTTACTGAACTTCGACTATCTCGCAACTCTCCGGATGTGTTCCCGGTGACGGTATCAGATCTGATGAGATTGTAAACTTATTGACTCGCCTCCGAGATATCGCTCGATACTAGATAATCACGATCAAAGGGGAAAACTAATGGGATCGTCGCAATGTACTTTACATCCCATAACATAACATAGACAAACACTACCAGAGGGAGACTTTGTACAAAAGTCGATTGCATGGCTGTGTTTCGGTTTGAAGGGTGGGATATGGCGTGAATTTACAGGGTACAGAGGAATAACACCTGAGTCCTCAGAAAGGTAACGCATGAAGGGTATCATTGGCGACACAGTGTATTCTATTATGTCCATGGTATCGTTCATGTCTATAAGCGACGGTTACCACTTTCCATCAGGTGGGCCGTCAACTTGTTTGCCATTAAAAGTTGTATAAAAAAATAATAAAAAAAAACTAGTTGTTTCCTGCAGCTTTGTCTAGATGAATCGGTATACGAGGTACCTATGTGTTAAATTAAGATATGTTCATCAGCGTATCAGCCTTGAACTGTCCACTGTTGAACATAAGCCTCCTACTTGGGGGTTTTTGCCAGTAGTTGCCGCAGTTAGCAGGCGAATTGGCAACTGCAGTTAGGCTTTAGAGATGTTTTAAGAGAGGCGCTGGTGCCCATCCCTCGCCCTTTCTTGGTCGCCTCATACGACACTCACTAGGTAGGAAGGGATGGCCTATTCTATGCCGAGACCATACGGCCAAGTTAGGATATAATCTACCAAACTTCTACCAAATTTCATTCTACCATTTAAGCGTGATCGCCTAACAAACATCTAAGCATCTTTACAAACTTTTACATTTATAAAATTAGGAGTTCTTACTTGACTTTGTTCAGACTGCTTTAGATATTTTATAAAACGTCAAATAATTTTGTGAGCCAAATATTCGACAGCAAATTTTAACCGATTTTTAAGTTGCCTTCGAAAGATTATGTTTTGTGTCGATTGTATTATTTGTATGCTTGGCTATATTAGGCAATGTCTTTGATAAAACTTAATGTGATTTGATGATTCTATTTTTTTTTTTTTTTATTTATTATAAATGCTAGTGACCTAAGTTACTAAAAATAAATTACATTTGTAGTTTTACTTCAGACAGAATTATTTTGCAATATATAAATTCTGAATTAACAGTACCATGAATCATGTAGTGACTACATATTGGAAATTAGAAAATATAACTCAAGTGGTAATTTAAGTTATATATTATTGTTATTGTTATTATTATATGCTATATTAATGTTCGGCGTGTGGTCCCGGCATAGAATGGGCCACACCTTTCTTTCCCGTGGGTGTCGTAAGAGATAACTAAGAGAAGGCGAGGGATGGGCAGCAGAGTCCCTCTTAAAATTACTAACTGCGGTTGCCAACCCGCCTGCTAAGCGTGGCAACTACTGGCTAAACTCCCCTTATGTTAGTTAACGGCTGAAATAAAAATAATAAAAATATATTGTGTACCAAATATATGTGTGTTGTTGGCAATTAATGTTTACTTCCTTGCTTTCTTTAAATATCATTGAAATATTATAAGTCATATATAAGTTGTGTCGTTTAAGAGTGATCGGGTCACAAATATGCAAATATCTTTATAACGTTACAAATACATTTGTAATATAATCAAGATAGTAGATGCAGGTACACGATAAAAGTACTTACAAGTGTATCTTAATTTGGACAAATTGTATTTTGTATCAAAAATAGCGGAGCGAAGCGTCCTCGTGCTACGGCATTCATAGGCGAACTTTTCTCATTATTCAGAACAGAGAATCTTGGAGACAAAAGATGCTGTGAGCTGATAAACACTACTGCCTGAAGAATTCGCATTAACAACTTTGGAAATCAACTTACGCTGCGCTAATTAATGTAAAATGTTGTCAAGTTTTTCCGCCAAAGTTCAAGTTGAAACAGTATAAATCTTGCTCAGTCAGAATTCATACTTTGAAAAACTAAATAGCGACACTTTGCGCATTTTTTTAGCATTATTCATAACATTTGAGCAGTATTTAATGTGAATATAATAGCTTTTAAACAACCCTAGGATATAAAGGAGTTATTATAAACAGTTTGATAAATTCTATAAATTTTGAAGCGACTTCCAAAATAAGGATATTTCCAATTCGTCCATATTTCTAATATATTACGTAGCCAATACTAATCCGATTTTGAGGATTCATTTTCAGTGGATTAACTTTTTTCAAATTAATTTTGTGACTATTGAAACAGCTATTTCTCTTTCAAATACCGCTTCTTACGAAGCAAAATCTATTTGTCTGTGAAATATGTCGTCGTTCATCGGTGTGCACAATTGAACTCACTGCTTTCTTTTTGCAAAACCTTTTTCGCAAATCTCTCAGATTTCTAGAAAAAACTACTATAAGCTGTTATACTCAAAAATGTAAGTATTTACACTAGAATATAGGGTGAAGGACTTCAACCAATGCAGGTTGCCAGTGATGACGTATGGAACCGAAAAATGGTCCTACACGATTGCCCGTATGCAAAAGGTTCAAATTACTAAGCGGCCTATGGAAAGGGCTATGCTTGGAGTTTCTTTGCGAGATAGAATCTGAGACGAGGATATCCGCAAAAGAACTAAAGTAACCGACATAGCCCGAAGGATAAACAAGTGTCAATGTGCTGGTCACATAGCTCGAAAAACCGATAACTGATAGGGAAGAAAGGTTTTTAAGTGACAACCCCGTACGGGCAAACACAGTGTAGGACGATCGCGCACTAAATAGAGTGATGACCTCAAAAGTATTGCAGGGAGTCAGTGGATGCAGGTAACTTAGGATCGTTCCTCATGGCAATCTATAGGAGTGGCCTGTGTCCAGCAGTGGACGAATAATGGCTGAAATTATAGGGCAATCTGTTAAACTACTACACTGTCTACGCTGTCTAATTATACAATAATATTTCATTTGTAAATTCAAATAGAGCATCTCCCAGTGTAGTATAATATTGTCTAATGAAATATAAGTGCAGTCTTCCCTTGCCACAGCGCTACGTATAAATATAATATCTGTGCCACTATACTCGCTATCTACTGGTTTCCCGCTCAATTATTAAAAGAATCTCTCTCTTACATTTCGGATAATGAAATTTTAATCATTTTCTCTCTTAAGTCAGCACTTATCCGACTCAAGATATTATAAAATTCTTGGCTCAATGGTTCAAAGGCTTTTGGCAATCAGATATTTCAAGGATATTATGTCTCGTCTCCATTTTGATTTAGCGGGCTCTTATTACATTCTAAATATTCTTAGAAGGATTTGAAATAATCACACGAATGTGCAGAAAAGTGATTCTGTTTGCTTGTCTGTTTTTTATTAAGTACGTAACGTGCGTACGTAAGCAAGTATCTTTATCCTACTGTGTTACTAAATATAATATTTATTCTTCATATATCATCATGTCAGCCCTTAGCTGTCCACTGCTGAAATAAGTCTCCCCCTTGGGGGGTTTTTCTACCACGGATTAGCTACCACAGTCAGTCTTTAGAGATGTTTTGAAAGTGGCGCTGCTGCCCATCCTTCGCCCTTCCTTAGTTGACTCTTACGACACCCACAGGATAGGAAGGGGAGGCTTATTCTATGCCGGGACCATACGACCAATTCTTCTTGTAAACACAATACATTCTTCATATATACTTCTAAAATATATCTATTTTTTATCCTTTTAATTAAAAATATAAATTAATTAATCCTGTTGATATTAAGATTAAATTACTAAAACCATATAGGGATCTCAAATAAATAGAGATTAAACTGTAAATGAGACAGTTCTTATATGAAAGATACCAATCTTTTACCATTCTTTTAGCGGAAACTAATTGATTAGAATGATGAAATAAATATGTTTACGACTTAGCAATTATCACATTGATAATTGCTAAGTCGTAAACATATCTCTTTATAAGTCAGATGCATTTATTGATATTCGCAGAAAAAGTAATACTTACAATTTTTACTCCATAGATATGCCCAAAATTCGTCGAATGTATTACTGAGTATAATTCAATATAAACAACCTACCGACATCACTTAGATCTGTTAAAATGACGATGACGATGATGATAGTAAATGCATCATCGTTGCAGTTATAAGTCGTTTACTTCCGAAAATGAGGCTTTTTAAAATGGCATCTGAGCCATCTAAGACAAAATTGCTGCGACACATTTACGCGTTACTTCATCTAGAAGTGGTATTATTTAACTTTTAACCGAAACGACCTTATTTACAAGAAAACTTTCCAACAGCTCTCGAAATATTTATACCTTGTATTGTAGTTCAAAGTGAAACTTTTACAATTCGAAATACCACAAGATAGAAATTATTCAAAGAACAAAGAAAATGATAGGTAAGTTATAAATTAAAAACAAAAAAAAAACATATATTTTCAACTCCTGTTCGTACTTTCATTCCGTATTATGACTTGCTTTAATATAATTCTTTGTTTGTTTCTATTGACAGTGGTAAACATTGCTGTTCGCATTGTTTCAAAATCCCAATCTAAAGTTTGTTATACAGAAATCCTTAATAATAGTTGACAACAGTTTCAAAGTTTGTGAATTACTGACTAATTTTGTGTAGCAGCTGTGAACACACTGCTTATAATATACGCAGAGGTGTTAGTTATAGTGCTCCTAGAGAGGTGACATAATCCGTTTGAACGGAGGTAAATAGCATATTAATCCGCATCTAGTTAACAAACCTTCAAGTTCTGGATCCGTTTGCTGCTACAACTCGAAACAAAGACTCATTAACATTCCATTTAAGTAATTATTTTTAAGTAAATTGCAAAAGCAAGGGGCTCTCTATCTCAATCTTGGCTAATTCTAAACTTATTTTGAATCGCTCCCGTGTTCGTCCTGTTATATTAAAATTGTCACAACTGAAGTCTCCATTTTTTTTTTATAATACAAAATATTGTAGCAAGCAAAGCAAAACCTAATTTTAGGTACATGCCTGTTTTGTAAAATGTGTATATTTTACGCAACTTAGAATGGCAAACAAGCTGACGGCCCACCTGATGGAAAGTGGTAACCGTCCCCTATATACATGGGCAGTACCATATACTCCGTGGTGTCACGGTGCTGTTCTTGTCTCTAATCTAACTTTCTTTCATCACGTGTCAGCTATATATGTATAGCAAACATCTATTTGTTCAAATGTGTCTATGAAATGTCACATCGCACATTCATTCAATTAATTCTTTTTAAAATCAGTTTAGCGATTTTACTAATAAATATGAAATTCTTCATGATTGCAAAGCCGTTTAATTACGGATCTAAATCCACTTATATTTGTTACATTTGATAATAACAAATAACATATTGCTTTTGTAGGAATGCAATATTTTATTTGTTATTATAAAAGGGTGCAACTATTTCTATAAAAGCAATATATTATTTGTTAGTGCCCTGAAACAATGTGGTTGATACAAATTCTTTCGAGAAATGACTCCACCTGTGTGTTTTACCTTTTTTTCTCTTTATAACCATTTTTTCAACTATGAATACGAGTACAATAAAGCTTATACAAACAAACAACAATCGATAAACTTCCTTTGAGTATCCTCTGAGTATCAGGGATTAACGTAACTTTATTGTATTATTTTAACTAACGAAATAATTTGGTTCTGGTGAGCTTGAGTTATAAAGCTGGATTAATTTTAGGATTTTGTCCGTAATCACTAGATTTACAGGTTAACTATATAAATTTTACGTTACATACTACTCTTATTTCAATTCAGGATCAATATTTAAAGCTACCTGCCATACCATCTTATATTTTACTCTTTTTATAAACTCTTGTGGTTATTTCTATAATATTTACTTTTAGTAATTTTAAAAATTAAATTATTACTAATATATATAGAGAAAGTGAGTTTCTTAAATTATTTGTTGCCTTATACCAACTTAGAGGCTCACAATTATTATGAAATTTAATATATACATAATATTTGTAATAAGGAAAAGCAAAAACTTCTTGTTATCCGGAATCAGCATATCCCATGAACAAGGGGACTAAATGGTGTATAAAGACTCATACTAGTACTGAATATATAAATTTGATAAATAATTTGTCTGCAAAACAGTCAATTCAAATTCATATTTACCAAAAAATACTGTGTATTTCACTATAAATTACATTATGATATTCACTTTCAATCTGTTCGTTTTGGTCTGGTAACTTCGACCTATTTCACATTCCAATGGTTCATTTCACCGTGTAATCTATTACACTAATTTATACATCGTGTTACATACAATACTAAGGCTGGCAACAGACGTTAGATTTCTATCGAGTGAATACGATCCGATAGTATAAATGACAGTAATTGAACTATTGAGTCGTATACGAATATAGGCGACCTTTACAAATCGTATCCCTATTCCAGAAGGCATTAGAGAATTCTCAGAATTATTATTACTATTGATAGGTAAACGTAAAAATATATATTTTATTCTTTATCCGAATACCACAGAATGGTTTTTTCGCGTATAGATACGTCCAACCCAAACATTGTATTGAAATATATGACGAGTATAAAAAAGTTTTTACTATTGTAAATACAACCTTAATTTACAAAATCTCACTAAAAATTCGTAGAAAATAAATTACATTAATTCCCACTACAGTCACACACTCCGAAGTGTAATATAGTGACACCCTATTAATTTTATTAATATAAAAAAATATAAATCAAGTACCTTTCCAGACATGGAATGAACACTATAAGTCTAACGTACAGTAAAATTTTAATTTTTAGCCGTAAGACTAGAATCAATATTGCTTAAATGTTCCAACGCTTGTTTTTCAAGGAACATTTACAGGTATAAACATTTGTGGATCACCCAATTTTGGTTCAAAGCGAATGTTTACTTTTGTGTCACCATCGCCTACTTCTAGGAAACTATTCCAGTCTAGCATCCAATAAAATCCATTTTTCTTTGGAGGAGGTAACTCTGAGTCACCCGGTTTTTCTGGTGCTGCACCACCAAAAGAGTCTTCTAAATCTGTAATAGATGCCCCTGTATCAGCTGCTTCTGAATCCATGGACTGGGCAGCATCAGTAGTGACCGCAATATCTTTATCACTCGCATCAATAGGTTTGGTAGTTTCGTTATTAGAAATTTCAATACTTGCATTTATTTGTCTCTTATTAGGTTCACTGTCAGCATTCAGTTTATCGATTACACTATCTAATGGATTAATACCTTGTTGTAAAGGTATAACTTTGACTGAGTCATATGATATTGGGTCATAATTTGGTTTATTGTCTGTTGACTTTGTTTTCCGATTTTTTGGCAAATCTAACGGTAATACAGTTTTCTCATTTTCTGATGACGATGTTTGCAATTCAAATGGTATGCCAGAGTAAAATGGTTCTTTCAAATAATTTGGTGTCAATGGATATTCGTCATAGTTTTTAATGACAGGTATTTGATCGGAGTTTGAAGAAATCAAATCATAAGTCAGCAAAATATTTTCAGGTAACTGAACTGAGCCATCTACAACTTTAGCTGGAGGTAGAGGCTTGAACCCTTCTAAAGGTAACAGGAAATGATCATTTCCCGGAGTACCTTTTAAACCATGTTCGTCAAGGAACGCTTGTAACTCAGCCGGAAAATCTCGTTTTTTCTCTTTATAATCCTGAGAAGTTTTATTATTATCTCGTAATTTTTTAATTAAACTTGATGATTTATTAGGATTTGATGTAACTTTTGACACTGGTACCACTTCTACTCTTGGTGGGCGGGTGTACAACTCTTGCAAAGATGATCCATCGCGAGGTGTATATGGTAAAACTACCATTACTGTTGGTTCACCTTTTTTCGTCGTACTTTCAATAGCCGTAGTAATTACTTCAGAAGATGTAGTAGGTGCAACAGTTGTAAGGATGGAAGGTGATGAGATGTCAAACTCGTTCTCGTTATTAATGACATTATCATTTATATTTGGTATTTGGGTTGATATATTTGTTACATTTTCTTCAAAGCTATGGGACGTTTTAATTTCTTGTGATCGTTCTGTTGAAGATATGCTTTTTGCATCTTCATCTCTAATGTTATTTAATAATTCAATTATTTCTTCTCTGGATAAACGCGGTAGCTGAGCATTAGCTTGCAGTATGTTTTGAACTTGTTTTACTGTTTTTTCCACATCGATAGCAGCGAAAACTGTCAATAACGATGTCGCCAACCAGTAATATTGTAACAGGTGCATCGTCTGTAAACAAAAGAAAGTAGTATTAATAGACAACTCAAATCTACTATTATTAAATATTACATTTGAAAGAAAAGTGAAATTTAATTATTTTCTGTAGATTTAATACACGCATAACTACAGACAGGGGCATAAGGAAATTAATATTTTTAGATATAAGTGCAGTATGTATTATTAAATACTTTTTTTTTTATTTAAGACAATAATTGCAATACTTTAATTGCTTGATTTTTAAGTTATATTATTATCAGAAAAGGAACAATAATAATCTTAGACACATCCTTGAATATATTCACGGTGAAAAATACAGTATTTTAAATACTCAGAAACGTTTTCAAATACTCAGATTATTTAGAGAAAATCGTTTACTCAAACTGGTTCACTTAAGAATTAAACCTAAAGACTCATTTACACAAAACACACCTATGAGATGATGAAGGTCGTTGATCAACGATAAAATCTCGCTAATTATGTGCGAGTATTATTTAATTTAACAAGCGCGACAGATACTGTATGAAGATTGGCTGGAAACACACGCAACGGCTACTTTCTACGGCGCTCGGCGCGGGCTCATTAAAATTCTGATGGCCGATGTGACGCAACAAGGTCTTTCCCACGTGTCTGTTTGTAAGTAAACCAACCATATTTTACCTGACTGGCGAATAAAGAAAGGGTTATGAATTTAACAGCTATGTATATTGTATAAGTGTACGTAACCGGTGAGTTTGTGTGAATAGATTGAGATATGTTTTGGAGACGAAAGAGGTCGGTTTCAAATAGAGAAATTTGTGATATGTTTACGGAGCATTAAAAGAAGTGAAATAAAGAAGAATAAAAGAAGTGCAATGTTTTCTGGAATAATTGTGGTTTTTTTTAAACAGTTGAAGATGAAACGGTGCAACCTAAATTACTAGGCTAACGGTCTATGCTGAAGTGAGTAATGAAGTTGAATAGCCGGTTCCGGTTATTAGCAATATACCCTATCAGGGTGACCTCCAATTGGTTCTTTCTGGAGCCCATCATGGTTATTCCGCCAAATAACCACGATAGTTCTTTACCTATCATCTCTCACCGATTCCCTACCAGCATACACCTCATTCTTTTCCTAAAAATTCTGTATCCTATAATTTAATATTTTGCTATAGAATAAAGTGTTACAAACAAACAAACTGATAGCGCAAGCGAAGTAAGTATTCCATTAATGTCCATTTAAAAAAAAACGCCTATACTAACGGTATACAATGGCAGGGCACTAGGAGAAGACGAAACAATGCGGATACTAGGTCAATTAACCGTGGTGGTTTCCAGAAGTTTGACCTGACAGGCTTTATTGCAGGCAATGAAGAGCAACATCCCCATAAAGATAAAGTTGAATATTTAACATGAGATTTCGTGTAGGTAATGTAAAATGTATATAAAACAAGGAATCAAACAATACATAGTCGATATTACCTAGCGCAGGTAGGTATAAAAATAACTTAGAAATTAGAAAAGGAAATATCAAAAAAGTTTCAGAATTGACAAAAATGTACTATATATATATATATATATATATATATATATATATATATATATATATATATATATATATATATATATATATATATATATATATATACATTTTTATATACATATTTATGTATATATGTATATGTATATATGTATATGTATATATATGTGTGTATCTACAAACTCTATAAATCACCCCTTGAAAACCCTTTCGGGATCTCAAGGTTACTGGCAGAAATCCTTTGAAGGATAAGTCGGCCTGTGTATATTTTGATATAACCTAATATGTATACTATAAGTGAATGTACAAAACCATATAAAGTAATGAAATGCAACATATTTACAAAAGAAATGCAGGACAATTGTGAACCTCACCAAGTCTCTTTGAAGCAACGCCCTGCTTCGCTCCAATAAAGGGACGAAGCCAACGCAGTGCTGATTGCCTCCTATATTTGTTTTTATGACATACATACGGGATTCACTATTATCTAATATTTGCAATAAGAATAACAAACGTAATATTTTCGTTTATTATGACAAAAACCAGATACGTGACTGGTTATTCGAAAGTGAAAGGACAGCCTCCAACGCGCGTATGAGGAGCTCTTTATACGAACATAATGTGTTATATCTTGGAATAACAACTTATGCACTAACGTCTCTGTTATTGTACTGTTATAAGAAGCCAATACAAACTCCTCAATGGATATCGTACATCACGTCTGTAACAATATGAATAATTAATGTTTCAGGTAAATAGTACTCTTTTGCGGTTATTGAACGTTCTGCGGCATCGATATATTATGCTCTTAATGTTTACTGGGTAATCTTATTATGTCTAGAATATAAAACGAAATATTAATTTTGTGATATGCGCGATACTAGGTAGATATCTTTGTAAAATTCGGTTGTTCAAATACACCTATCCCCCGATTTACACGGTAGATACGTTCCTGAGAAAAACGTGTAAATCGAAAATTAAAAATTTTCAAGTCAAAACCGTGTAAATCGAAAAGCTTGCAGAAAATGCATAATTTTGCTATTTAACAGTTGTGATTTTTTTCAATATTTTTACGTGTACACAGAAATAAAAATAAAAATTTTCATTTGTTCTAATAGTTCTTATTGTAGCTTCGTTCATGTTATATGATTTTGCAACATCTACTACTCTATCTCCCTTTCGTAAGCGATCCAAAATTTCGATTTTAGTTTCTAAAGAGATAACTTTTCTTTTAACTTCTTTCGACATTATAAGCCTATATTTTTTTTTTTATTTATGTTAATTTATAAAAATCTTAATTATGCACTCACTTGTAATTTACGAATATGAAAAAATAAATCTTTCTGACACTGTGAAACTTTCACTCAAATATCCGTAGATCAAACTTTAATTTTATGCGAAGAAATACAGACACAGTGTGCATGTGCAGCAAGTCAGCACATAAGCTCGGGATTCCCCGTGAGATGTGTACACAGCGCACGTGTTCAAACACAGTAGCATTTAGTAGAGTGCGATAAAAACAAAAAAAAAACTTATTTGGAAAACCGTGTAAAAGCGAAAACGTGTAAAACAAGTACCGTGTAAATCGGGGGATAGGTGTACTAAGTACCTAAAAAAATTTTTCCTCGTCCTATGTTCGCTAGGCTTTTTTTATTCATAAGCTTTATAATTTTTCCCGTGTGGTCCCGGCATAAAATTCGGCACAGCTTCCTTTTCCGTGAGTGTCGTAAGAGGTGACTAAGAAAGGGCGAGGGATGGGCAGCAGCGTCCCTTTTAAAGTATTCCCAAACCCTAACTGCTGTTGTTAATCCACTTAGCGGCGTCCCTCTTAAAACATCTCCAAAGCCTAACCTATGGTTGCCAATCCGCCTGCCAAGTGTGGCAACTACTGACAAAACCTCCCTTGGAGGAGGTTTATATTTAGCAGTAGAGAATTAAAAGCTGATATGATATATAACAATCTGTATAGTAAATAGTCTAAATAGTGTGATTGTTGGTTACTTGAATAAATAATTTATTATTTATTTATGTTTATTAATTACAAAATATCAGGGATAAATTCTAAACGTTCTACTTTTAAATATTGTTTTCATACGAGTACGTATAGTATGTATATATATATATATATATATATATATATATATATATATATATATATATATATATATATATATATATACGTTGACTGAGGGGGAAAGGGATTGTTAGTATTGTAGATCTAACGACTCCATAGCTAGCAATATCCGGTCGACCTCCTCGCTGTTCCCCCTGGAGACCATCGTGGTTATTTTTTTATGAATTTGTTACTATGGGCCAACTGACTTGTTTCATCCTCATTTATAATTCCTCACAGGTACCCCGCCAGTGTATACCGATAGCGCAGTCGAGTTACCAATCCATTATCGCTCATTAAAAAAAAAGTCCGTTAATAGAAATCCTAAAATTAAAATAAAATAGTTATGCTCACGACTATAATCGCTAATGGAATAGTCAAAAACAAATGCTTTTGACGACCCCATTAGTAGTGACAAATATCAACTGTCGCCGTTGTGGTGAACGTAACACTCGATTTAATAAATTTTAAAAATTATATAAATTTTAATACAGTTCAACGAGCATGTTTCTTATGCACGTTTTTTTATACAACTTAGAATGGCAAACAAGCTAACGACGCACCTGATGGAAAGTGGTAACCGTCGCCTATAGACATGAGCAGTACCATAGACATAAGAGAGTATATATATATATATATATAATTATCCTAAGTATATTCTATGTCTAACGACTTCTATTTTACCCTAAATATGCAACAATATAATATACAGCTAAATGAATGTATAAATTTAAATTTGGAATTCTTAACCATAGAGGAGATATTTTAGATCAAAGTGATCAGTACAACAAAACGCTAATTTCATATATAAAGACCTAATACATAAAGCTACACAAGACAAATACAATTATTTTTATACATGAAAGAACGCTCAAACTAATGTAAACAAACTTAGAGGATACAAATGTCAGTATTATGCGGGGATCGAACCCACACCCACCGGAAGGTTGTCAAGAGTCGACATACAAAATGAATATTCAACGGAAATAAACATTTTATTTCACCATGTTTTTGTATATTTCTATGTTCATTTTTATATCCGAGGATTATCCTAATGTACAACAAAATGGCGTATGCAGACAAGTCCCTTTTCGAGGTAACAAAGTATTGTTGGTACAATGAATTTGAGCGCGGTCTACTAAACTCGAATAGCTAAGAAAATAGCGGCTACGTAGGGCATAAATGGATGTTTGAGATGGAAACGTGATGTACCTATGATAGGTAAAAGGTGTTATGTGAACATAGGAACATTACTTAATCTTTTCTAATCCTCTAAAACAGATGTACAGAGACAAGCACTCTAAATACTTATATAAAGGAATAATAATTAAAGGTGTATGTATGATGTAACTGATACTCGTTTTTCCATCAACTTCGAAAATAACAACTACCATTATGTGTGAGTCGCAAGCCTGTTTGCTAAATAAAAAAAAAAAGTTATTTCATATTTTTTAAACGAGTATTTATTATTAAAAAAAATACAATATTTAGCAATTTTTTTTCTAATTTTGAATCTTGATGTATCTAAAATCTCTGTATATCTCATAGTAATTTTGCCTAGATTGAATTCTTTACGTGAAACATAGAGAAAAGTCTTAAATTACAATATTGTCAGGATTTCCACGCATTTTTTACGCATTTTTTTTTGTGAGCAAGCAAGCTGTAATAATACCTATTGTGGTAGATTATATTGGCCACATGCGTAGCTGTAAAAAAGTCATTCGCAAAATTTTTATTACTTTCAACAGGTGGTCGGTTTCTTTAGCTGGAGACTTGTAGGTCGCGAGGATGGCTACCGAAAATGGAACTAATAGAACAATTCTAGTTACATTAAAAAAAATCCCCATAACGACACCTCGTTTAATGGAATATAAAATTGGTATCCATTATTGTTTGATAGATAACAAAAAAACCAGACAATTTTAGAGTTTTTCCTGTAAAATTTTAATGAATACTGTAATGTAGCATTCGGATACTCGATGTGTATTCTATAGTACTCGATAGTAATTCATTAGGTTATAATGTGTCTACAGGTAGATCCTATTTCTCAATATGCAGTGTTTAATTTATAAAGATAAATGGCTTCGAGTATCACAAGATTAATAAGCAACCAACACGGATGTAAACAATATTAATTGCAACAACGATTTGTTAAAATTAACGACGTAATCGCGTAACATTACCACAAAAATCTTCATATATAAATGAGGATATAGATTGACAGATTGACTTATATATCAACGCACAGCCGAAACTGCTGAATGTATCATTTTAAAATTTTACAAAAGGTTTCTTTATATAGCGTAGTCGAATAATAAAAAAGTAATTTTGTAAATTCATTTCTAAAGGAGTAAAAAGGTGTTTGAAACTCTGTATGCAATTTCATCAGTTTAAAAGTTAGATATTAAATTTAAATTTGACATACACACAAAGAGAAAAAAATATCAAAAAAAAAGAAGAGAAAATACATAAAAAAATATTAACAAAGACTTTTTTCGCTTGTGTACTACAGTAGCACAAAATACCCTCAAATCAATTTATTACTTTACTATCAATAGGACATAACACTGATTTTATGTCGTGGCCAAAAATGAACTCTTAGATTATGTCCCCAACTAGCCCACTAAGTAAGCCAATCAACACACAACGAAGACGACAGACAGCGTTCATTTTTTGTTGCGATCTGTGACTAGAGAATCTACTTTCATAATGTAACTCAGGGTCGAGCTGTCCACTTCAGCGATTCTGTCTTTCTCAACTCACCAATACAGCTGGGTCACACAGAAACGTTCGTTTCTCTCTATTTATAGATTACTAACTATTTATTAGTCGCAACCCATGTAGCCTAGGCCCTTTTCCATCGTATATACTACGTTTTAACAAAATTTTATTGATCGAGCCGTTAAAATGATGGTAACAAAATCACATATTAAAATATTATATGCAACCAAAGACTTTAACATGTACTAACTTTTTGCCCGCTACATCGTACATGTGAATTTTAAAAATATGAAAACAAAGACATACGTTACATATAAATAGGGTATGAAAATAAAACATGTACCATTTTTTGTGGTACACCTTTAGAAACACAACTGTTAAAATTACATTCAATTTGATGTAATAGTTTTAGCATAATGCCGGAACAAACTTGAACCTACCTAAATGGTCACGTACAGTGCGGTTTCAGTGAAATTTTCATCCTACGAACACTCAAGCTGTGGAATGATCTCCCTGCCGAGGTTTTTCCTAAAGACTACAGTATGGGGTTCTTCAATAAAGGTATATTAAAGTTTCTTCTGGGTCGGTAACGTGCAACTGATACTCCTGGTGTTACAGGCATCCATAGGCTACAGTGACTGTTTACCATCAGAAAAGTTGTTTGCTTCTTTGCCATCTTTCTTTTATAAAAAAAAAAATTAGCACACAGTGAGACAGGCAAATAACTAAAATTAAAAAGAATATATTAACATCTACTGATCTCATTAAAACCACAATATCTCCTATGTACAGATATCGTCTAGCTACAGTTTTCTTGCATTAATAAGATATTTACGTGGTTATATTTATGTCAGTATATTTATTTACAAGTACATGGTTTTCGATTTCCTGAGTGATTCCTTATTGTGTTACTTCACTGTTGCTTGTTAATTAATATGAAGATATTTCAAACTTGTTAACAAGCTTCATTACATAGAGCCGCCGCTTAATAAGGAATCTATATTTACATAATTGTATACACTTTGGACAGCTCGATTTTTTGTATACTTATTAAGAATAAGTTAAAATGCGTAATAAAAATATGTAACTAAAATTATTAAGATTTTTAGAGAAAGGAAAGAAATGGGATTTTCACAAAACGTCTGTCGAGTATTCATTTTCCTATTTTTTTATTTTTAATAATCCAATTATCATTTTCCATCAAGTAAACCATCAATAGATAGACCGGCTTCTTTGCTATTCGATTTGATATATTCACTAAAAAAACGTTTTTAGAAAATATATAATATTTTAAAATGTATTCATTACAACTTCCATCGTATTAGCTAGCATTTACTAAGATAATATAATATTTACTGTACATTGAATCTTAAAAATATCTTTTTTTTAAAGCATATTTTATAACAAGACTGTTGTAGCTATTTAAAGTATACTGTTTATAGAGTTAAAGGAATATATGTAAAATGTAACATACAGTCCACACACCAATCCATTCGATATACTTTTTATATCTATACCTTACGCACACAAACATACTACACGCCGTCACCTAATATTATACAAGTACTAGTAAAAAATATTTGAGTTTATTTCGCAATAAAACAATGTGCTAAAAAGACGTGGCCATTCATTTGATTTTTTAAAACAAATCAAGCAAAAACATTTTTGAACCTCAAGTTTCTACACAAGCTTTGAGAACAAGAGAATGGAATATAATTTTATTTATAATAAAAAAATTGTTAATTATTTTTTGGCAGGAATAACGAGCGTTGTATTTTTTGCAGAAGTAAGATAAAAATCGAATGTTACGTTCCACACGCGACCTCAATATCTCTTTGCTTTAATGCAATTTTAAAATCCTCGTTTTACCTGTATTTTTCGTATGCTACGCGATATCTTCCCCAATTCTAAACGGATTTTGTTAATGCCCGTGCCTGTAACGTATCAATTTTATGTTAATTGTATTACGATTGTAGGAACTTTTTTTTATAAATCAAAAGTCACTGTAGTCGTAATTTCAAACAAACATTTTGATAGACAAATCAACATTTCCTTGCCTTATTTGAGGTTGGCGCAGTATGTCGTTCTGATAGAGAAATAAACAAAAAAAAATTACAACAAAAAACATAGAATTTGATTGACATATAAAGAATGAAGAAGAATATGCATTATATTATAAGACTGTTAATTAAAAAGAAAAAGAAAAAACTAAAATATTTAACTAGAACTGAATAAACAGAAATATCTCTAACAATTTACAATACTTGTCTTACTCAATAAGACGATGATAGCAATCAGCACCTTACTTGTTTTTTACCTTTTAATTTATCTATCTCTAGTCGAGTAAATCTTTTTAAAACTATTTCCACCTTAATTGTAGTTATTACTTCCATAATTAGTTACAGTTTTAATTTGTCCTGTTTTAATTTAAATCTTTCGTATATATACCTACATAAATACATAAAAATATATAAATACTGCTTACTACACATGTATACGTAAAACACAAAGTTATATAATTCTTAAATATCTGAAGAAATATGCTACACCGACAAATAAACTAATTAAGAAGATGACAACTTGCTCAAATAAAAATCCTTAATTATTTTTTTTTACACAACTTAGAATGGCAAACAAGCTGACGGCCCACCTGTTGGAAAGTGGTAACCGTCGCCATAGACATGAGCAGTGCCATGGACATAACAGAGTATACTGTTTCGCCCATGATACCCCCCATGCGTTACCATTCCTGAGGACTCAGGTGTTATTCCTTTGTACCCTGTAAATTCACGCCATATCAAACCGAAACGCAGCCATGCAAACACAACTGCTTCACAGTAGAAACACGAATGGGACAGAGGTACCCAAGCAATCGACTTCTGTACAGTCTCGCTCTGGTAGTCTGTTTTAAAACTAGGCAAACATTTACATATATAGATTATACATTGTATAGAGACTGGTAAATTGTTCTATAGCCGTACAGCTTCCATTGTGAACTGGAGTCTTCATCTGGAGGTCCTCAAAAGAACTTATATTAAAAGAATTGACGGAATGTACAAAATCAAACCACAATCCAGATTCAGACAGCATAGTTGTCCCTTTTTAAAAAATGACTCTACATTGACTTAATATTAATAATTACTATAACTTATTATAATTATTTGCATAGGTTTTACTCACGAATTGAACAGACGGGTTATCCGAGATTTTTAATAAATGCACTTCACACGTCCAAACCTAATCTCAACTCCGATGTTAATGCTTGAATAAAAGCGATATAAATAATTAAAACAGAGTATGACTCACGATAGTTATTAGTTCAACTTAATAGTTATATCATTACATTATAGTCACTAATCATCAACATTTTAAGTTATGTTAATTACCACTACTTATACAATATTTCATCGAACATGCTAATATTGTTAAAACTATCCGTCAGAGGTCGCTTGCGTGTGTACCTTCAATCTTATTGCTCAACACCTGTGACCTCTGTGTTATGCAATATCTTCTATAGATATTTGACAAACAATATATTCGTTATTTTTTAATAAATTTAAGAAGGACTTACAGTATGGTTGCTTATATGTGCGTTGTGCGGTATTTTCAATGATTTAGAAGAGACTGAAATTTTAAGGGTATTTTATTTTACTATACCTACACACATACGCACTTACGTACACGCACTCACTTATTCGTATATAACTTAAGTATTGTAAATCACTACATAGTATTAAACAAAGTCGATGTCGCTGTCTGTCCGTCCCTATGTATGCTTAAAACTTTAAAACTACGCAACGGATTTTGAAGCAGTTTTTTTAACAGATAGAATGATTCAAGACGAAGGTTTATATGTATAATACATGCATAATATTGTAGAGAAACACTGATAATTTTAAAGATTTCTATCGTGATGTGATGTAATGTGCACCCGTGCAAAGCTGGGGCGGGTCACTAGTGCTTAATAAGGATAATATGAAATATGTTAGATCCATAATTAGCTATAAGTGCTAAAAATAACACTACAATGACTTTAACTTTTTAAGAGCTTTAGATTTTGTAATAAATAAATAAACTTTAATGTAATTCAACTTATGTGTAATTAAAGTTCGTCGTGTGGTTCCAGCATAGAATAGGCCACCCCTTCCTTTCCCTTGGGTATTGTAAGAGGCAACAAAGGGAGGACGATGGACAGGCAGCAGCGTCCCTCTTAAAACATCTCCAAAGCCTAGCTCCCAATCTGCCTGCCAAGCGTAGCAACTACTGGCAAAACCTCCCAAGGGGAGGCTTATGTTCAGTAGTGGACAGTTAAAGGCTGATATGATGATGACGACAGCTAATATCCGTAGAATTACTAACATTAATTAAAACAAAAAATATTAATATATGAAATGTGCAAATTAATTTATGACGTAACATCTAATTGAATTCAATTATCACTACATTCATTTAACGTTAAGTGAACATTATCTTACTTATTTGTCATTAAATCGATGTGATTTTAAATATGAACTCAATTAAATTGCAATAAAAGTCATTTCACTAAATTGTTTTTTATGCAACTTAGAATGACAAACAAGCTGACGGCCCACCTGATGGAAAGTGGTAGCCGTCGCCTATAGACATGAGCAGTACCATGGATATAACAGGGTATATATGGACATAACTGTTTCATTCAAAATACCTCCCATGCATTGCCATTCTTGAGGACTTATATTTATTATATTCTAACTGTGCTTTCTTTATACCACAAAGGTAGTAAACAGGCGTATAATCCATCTGATATAAAACGGTCGCTCTAGGCATTGAATGTCCGTAAAAACAGGAGCATCATGCTGACCCTGAAGATACCTTAATATGTCCTTTTTGAAGTAGTTCCATACTGTAATCTCTAGGGAAAACCTTGGTAGGGAGCTCGTTCCATAATCTAGATTATTACATTTTAATTAAAACTTCAATTAATTTTATTTTTGAAACCTGACGTTTCTTTTAATGCATGGAATAGCAGCCTCGCCCGCGCCATCGGTATACACTGGCGGGGCACCATTGAGGGATTATTGGTGAAGCTAACAAGGCAGGTCAGTGAGCCCATCGTGACGAATTCAATAATAAATTAGTCATGTTCGTTTCCAGGGGGAGCTGCGTGGAGATCGACCTAATGAGGTATATTAATAGCAATGGGGACTAACCTCCTCATTACTAACAATCCTTTGCCTCCCACCAAGATGACGTTTCCCATGATGAAAAATAATAACCGTAGACTCTAAACTAGAACAGTACCATAATTATCACATCTTAAGTTTTAATATTTTCTAGCTGTTAAGCCATCACATTGTGTAAGATCTATGTGTGTACTTAAATCGTGCTAATGTATCGAATCACAATAAATAAATTTGATTATTATTATTATGTATATCATGTCCATGGTATCACTCATGCATTCCTGAACACAGTATTATGCCTCCGTACCTTGTAAATTCAGTATACCAGTAACTGTATATAATTAGGTAACAAACATGTTCTCGGAACTTCATATCCCATTACTAATATTCTAAACTAGATGTAATACGCAGTTCTCGCGTGAATTACATTGAAAACAATCCTAATGTGTTAATTCAGGATACGTTCAATGTACCGCGTTTCATTCAAACCCATTCAGCCGTTGCAGCCTGCTTGAATAACAGACACCCGAATATCCACATTATATTAATACGATCAAGGTCACTCACTATTATTCATAAAAGCGAAATACTTTAACAAAACTACTGCAAATATATCAAGTCTGGAAACTTGAAATTCTAAACTGAAATTCCTCGTGTGATGTAGGTAGGCATCCACTAACAAAAGGTTTTAAATTTCCACCGGAATGAGCCGCGGGGAGAAAGCCGCGTAGTTTCTGTCTAGTATTTCTATAATAGTGTAAAGTACTATACTTTGTTAGTTGCGTACGTACATAAAGACCCTTGATGTAGAGACTAAACAGTGGAACTGACAGAGTTTGCTTCTAAAAAAAGAATAGACAATTTAAAATTATAAGTAATGTTAACCGACAAAATAGTCATAATATAAATGTCTATAGGCGACGGTTACCACTTTCCATCAGGTGGGCCGTCAGCTTGTTTGCCATTCTAAGTCGTATAAAAAAAAATTGATAATAAATCTCATCATATGTCTCATCAGTGGACAGTACATCTATTAACTGTACTATCCACTGCTGAACTAATATAGGTCTCCCCCATACGGGGGACTCTGCCAATAATTACTACGAGTGGCGGACGATTTTTTTTGGACCCATTTTTTTTATGGGTGAAAATAGAATGGCAGTCTCGCCTGCGCTAACGGTATACGCTTGCTGGAAAACAGGCCAGTTAGCCCATCATGATGAATTCATCAGAAATTAACCATGATAGTTTCCAGGGGGAACCGCGAGGATGTCGACCTGGTTGGGTATATTACTAGCAATGGGATTCTCAGTCTACATTACTAACAATCCCTTTTCTCCCCTAAACTTGTTAGGATTTGGTTGCAGCTGCACATCCCTCGACCATAAAGTTTCCTTAGTCGCCTCTTACATTTCATTTCACTTCATTTCATTTCATTCATTTCATTTCATTTCATTTCATTTCATTTCATTTCATTTCATTACGACACCTACGAGAAAGCAAAGGGTGGTCCATTCTATGGCGGGACCACATGACAATCTTACTATTTTAAAAGTAATAATACGTACTGATGTATTTATAAAGCGAAATCGTTTTTATACAGATGGATTTTACAGTACGGAAACAAAAATACCATTACAGAATTAATATTGGACTAACACGGGGTAAACCTTATCTATTACAAAAAGCAATATATAAATAATCGATTCATAATTGGCGATTTAATCGTGTGGCATACGTAAATGTATAAACATGTAAACGAATTAAATGAACCTTCTGTTTTTGAAAGTCGAACGGAATACATTCAACCAAATTATGTATTCATTTCGAACCAGCCAGTGACTTTTGTAGTTAAACGTACCGAAATGGTCTCATAACTTATTTAAAAATTTAAAATTTAAACTTCGAATTTCATATTTACGCCAAGTATTCAACTCCGCTCATGCTTTTGATTTTAATTCGAAACAGTTTTAACATTTTAAGTGTATAAAAAGTGAATCTTAGGCTTTTCTTTTACTTAATGTACTTATTTTTTAACTTACACCTGTAATATCAATTGTACTTTAAATAATGATTACTAATTACAGTGTAACGGTAACTTTAGCCGTGTATATCTTAAAAATATCTAATGTGTTAATTGGAAAGATCTTATTCTAATGTACAGGATTTATCTATTTAGGTAGCAGGGTTTCGTTTTAATTTTAAAAATATTTGTGTCATTTATTAAGCAATAAACTATCATTACTATTATGCATAAATTTTTCAATTTCATACAAATCCATTCATTCATTATAACGTGGTAGCGTAACAAACATACAAATTTCCTTAGAAACTTTTAGATAGATAGATAGATAGATACTCTTTATTGTTACCTCCAAAAGATTACAATAGTAACTTATTATAGATACAAACAATTGTAAGAAATAATCACAGTGAGAAAACAATGGGCGACCTTATCGCTAAAAGCGTTCTCTTCCAGGCAACCTTTGGATGGAGAGGAGTAATTATAAACAATTTGTTTATAATTTTAACAGGATAATAAAAAGGTTTTTATTTATTACCTCTTGCGATAAAGCGATCAACATAAAATTTTAAATACACAACTAGTCGGGATTATTCTGGATACGATACGAGATATTGGCTTCTTATTGTTCCAGTCAAGGGATAAGTGTATAATATCTATCTATATAAACAAAAATCTATTATCAAATATATGTAAATACATTACCTCGACTATTCGGCCAGTACTTTTTTGTGTGTGAAAATGTTTGAAAAATAATATGGAAAAAAGAAAAATTACAATTAAAAATCTCCATACAAAAAAGTGGGTGAGTGAGACGAAAGATTTGGTCTCATTCTCTTCATTAGTACACCCGTACAAAACCGGGACGGGCGTAAATAAAACTTAAGAAAGAAGTGCACAATTGTAGAAAATTTATATTATATAATAGAACAAAACTAAACTAGAATGTGACAAAAGCAGTTGCCAACTTGTCAACATATCTATTTCTGGATGATTGCGTAGATACTATTTTCTGTATACGGCAATACTGCGACTAAAGCGTTCGTATAGTGTTGCTATATTTAATAAAACTAAATCTAAAAAAGTGAACTGTCAATCTAAGTTTTGACATTGACGTGTAATAAGT